AATTCATTCTGAAACTCAAAGTATTTTCATTTTGGATATTCTCTTGTTTTTTATGAACCTTGTCATTACACTTGGCCATGTTCGAGGAAGGCATGTCCATTGTGATTTTGATGATGACAGAATTATTTTTCTCTGTAGAAAGATACTACTTTATCAGGGAAGTTAGTCAAATGAAATGGAAATTGGTAAATGGACAAAAGCTAGCTAGTAAAAAGGATGACCTCACAACCATGCTTTAACCCCATTGTATGTTTGTGGAAAGAGCATAGCTTTAAATCTTGAGAAATTTGGGATAAAAGTTTTCATGGTAGACAGACAGTTCATGCAGTATATGAATTGGCATAATGGAAATAATCTGATTTTATTTTTATAACTAACAAATCATTCCCTTTCATTTAAACACCTTTTGTATTTACTTCAATGAGGAGATTGGAGTCTGAATGGAAAGTCTTACTGTTTTCCAAGGGATTCTGAGAAATTTTTGTATTCAACAGTTGGAAAGCTCTCTATTATTCTAGTTGATAAAACTTCCCTTTTTTGATGTAGATGCAGATTTTCTATACAGTTCTGTTGTCTTCTTTTAGTAGGACTGTTAACATTTGTGATAAAATTCAAGTAAGATTTTATTTTTTGCTAATTTTGGCTTTCACAATTTACTTTTAAATCCTTGAGCAATCTGCTTACAATTAAGAGATTTCTGACATTTATTCTTACACTAAATGGATCAACTCTAGAATTTAGGCATGTTAACTTTACTTCTGTTCTGTTTGAATCTCTCCAGAGTTGCATGTGGATAACATTTATTTCTGTGCCCTTAAACCCATTTAGAAAATATCTACAAAGTAAAAATGGAGAGGAAATAGAAATGTATTTTTTCATGAACATTTTGATGCAAATTTCATCAGGCTTAATGATTCACCATTTTCTTACATTAATTTGAATTAAGCATTTAATTGGAAGAGAGGGGAGCATTTATTATTGATATATATGGGCTTTTAAAAACTCCATCCTTTATAAACAGTCAAGGTTTGGGCCACACAAATTACATTTTCATCATGGAAAAATTTCAATTCCTCAAATCATAATGTTGAACAGAAATGGAATATTTTCTTTAGAATTTCTTGAACAGGCAAATGAAAGCTTATTATAGAATGCATGTATTTTCTTTTCTCTTTGGAACATCACACCAGTATTTTGCTGGCAGCTATTGTATTAAAAAAATTAAGTATATTTTCACTATCATAAAGGATTCTTTTCCCTGCTCATGAAAATAAATAACAACTTGGGGTAAAAATAAACAAAAAAAGTTACTCCCTATTGCCCTTTCCCCCTAGTCCCTGGTAGCCTCCATTCTACTTTCTGTCTCTATGAGTTTGACTACTCTAGGTACCTTCATATAAGTGGAACCATAGAATATGTGGCCTTTGTGTCTGGCTTCTTTCACTTAGCATAATCTTTTCAAGGTTCATCCATGTTATAGCATGTATCAGAGTTTCATTCCTTTCTTTTTTTTTTTAATTGTACTTTAGGTTCTGGGGTACATGTGCAGATCATGCAGGGTTGTTGCATAGGTACATACATGGCAATGTGGTTTGCAGCCTGAATAATATTTGTGTGTATACACGACATTTTATTTATCCATTCATTTGTTGATGGACATTTGGGTTGTTTCCACATTTTGACTATGGCGAATAATGCTCCTATGAATGGTGGTATACAAGTGTCTGTTAGAGTCTCTGTTTTCACTTTTGGGTATATACCTAAGAGTGGAATTGCTGGGTCATATGGTAATTTTATGCTTTTTGAGGAACTGCCATGTTGTTTTTCACAGCAGCTGCATCACTTTACATTCCTGCCAGCAGTGTAGGAGGGTTCCAATTTCTCCACATCCTGTCTAACACTGGTTATTATTATTATTTTTTGTTAATTAGCCTTTTTAATGGGTATGAAGTGATATCTCCGTTGTGGTTTTATTTGCATTTCCCTAATGACTATGATATTAAGTGTCTTTTCATGTGCTTATTGGCTATTTACATATATTATTTGAAGAAATGGCTTTGCAAGTCCTTTGCCCATTTTTGACTTGGGTTTTTCCTTTTGCTGTTGTTGAGTTGCAGGAGTTTTTAAAAAAATATACTCTGGATATTAATCCTATATCAAATATATTATTAGCAAACATTTTCTCACATTCTGTAGGTTGCCTTTTTACTCCGTTGATAGTGTCGTTTGATGCACAAAAGTTTTAAATTTTATTGAACTCCAGTTTATCTATTTTTTTCCACCTGTGCTATCGTCATATCCAAGAAATTATTGCCAAATCCAATGTTGTGGAACTTCCCCATCATGTTTTCTTCTACGAGTTTTGTAGTTTTACCTCTCATGGTTAGGTCTTTGATTCATTTTCAGTTAATTTTTGTATGTTATGTGAGGAAAAGATCCAACTCCATTGTTTCATATATATATCCAGTTTTCCCGCCATTTGTTGAAAAAACTGTCCTTTCCCTCATTGGTCATGGCACCCTTGTTGAAAATCAGCTGACCATATATGTTAAGGGTTATTTATGAGCTCCTTATTCTATCCATTGGTGTATATACCTGTCCTTACACAGTATAGTTTCACAATAAGTTTTGAAATCAGGAAGTAGGAGTTCTACCAACATTGTTCTCCTTTTCCAAGATTGTTTCGGCTAGTGGGGTAGTGGAGGGGAGCGCCTTATCTGTATGAATTTCAGCATCATCTTGTCAATTTCCACCAAAAAAAAAGCCTGCTGGGATTTTGATAGGGATTGCATTGACTCTGTAGATCAATTTGAGGAGTACTGCTATCTTAATAGTATTATGTCTTTTAATCCTTGAATATGGGCTTTTTTTCATTTGTCTCAGGCTTTAATGTTTTTCAATGATTTTCTGTAGTTTTCAATGTACAAATCTTGCATTTTAGTTAAATCAATTTTTAACTTTATTGATTTTGATGCTATTGTAAATGGAATTTTAACTTAATTTTCAGATTGTTTATTGCTAGTGTGTAAAACTATAACTGATGTTTAAATATTGATCTTATATCCTGCAGTCTTGCTGAACTTGCTTATTAGCTTTATTAATTTTTTTGATAGTGGATTTCCCAAGATTTTCTCTTTATGAAATCATGTCATGTGCAAGTAGAGATAGTTTAATTGTTCCTTTCTTATTTGGATGCCTTTCATTTCTTTTTCAGGCCCTGGCTAGAACTGCAAGTACAATGTTGAACAGAATTGGTGAGAGTGGACATCCTTGTTAAAGGTGCATTTTTGATAAGACCAGTGTTCAACACTTTCCAATCCTGACGTTGGGCAATTCATTTACCCTTTCTGTTTCCTTATCTAAAATCGAAGATAGCAGCCTACAGTGTACATGGGTGGTCATGTCTACTTTTTAGGAGCTCATAAGCTAGTGGGGAAGCAAATGATTCATGGAAATAATTATAAAAACAAGATAACATATGCTAAGAGTTATTAGGGCTGTGAATGATGTATCTTGGATACCCTATTAGATAATTTTGTGGTGAAACATTTGTAAACAGTCTAGTGCTAAATAAACGGTTTAAAAATTTAAGATACCAATAACTTGCTTTCACTGTTACCTAAATTAGTTTGGTTCCATTTTTAAGTCTTTTATTACAAACTGATATAATCATAACTAAATTCAACCCTGTTCTCTATAAAATTTAATAGATCTCATTTTGTAGGGCTTTACTATGATTTTGCAGGCCATTTGATGTCCGCAGGCATTTTTTAAGTCAAAAGGAAATCTGTAAATTAGGAACTGTTAATTTCCTCTTCATTTCCTAGGTAGACTGTATAGAATTGTTCCAAGCACCCCATTAATTTGAGATTAGCCTGATAAGTTTTTCCTATGCCTGCACTTTGGAATATAAACATGTAGAAAATAGTCCATGACACAGCGGATGGGTTCATAAGTTCCTTCCTGGTTTTAACACCGAATCGTGCTGATGATCTGGCAATGGAGGCTAATCTTGCCACATCCAGTACGCCTATTCGCTAAGCCGTCTGGGGCACTGTATAATTTTTTTCTTTGCTGGTGTGTTTGAAGGGCTCCTATGGCCAAAAAGGTGGTCGGTTCCGTCATTTAGGCTGTGAGGACGCCTAAACGCTTTGAGGTACTGATGCTGCAGGATCGTGTGAAAGAGTTTCTCAGAGCACCTCCCTCGCGGGGTGGAGAAAAGGCCCTCATTCCCCACGCCCCCTCCTTCCGCTGCGGGAGATAGCCACACCTTCCTCCTATCGGCGCCGAGCAGGTGGCCAGGCCCTCCGGACCTCGCGCCCCCGCAGCCCAGTGGTTCGGCCAGCTCGTGCGTCACGTGACGCGGGTCAGCTGCGCCGCCAGGACCTCCAGGCACCGGGGCGGCGACCGCCCAGCGCGTGGTCTGGGGATCTCATCTTTCGGTGCCCCTCCCCCCACGATCCCGGAAAAGGGGGAGGCCGGTTACGTCATCATCCGGGTTCTTGCTGACGCGGCCACTGTTCACAATGGAACAAAAACAGCGGCTCCAGTCAAATTGTGAGCTACGGGGCTGCGGTTCACACGTTTAACTCCGTTGTGGCCACACGCCCCGCCAGTCCCTGCTGCCCAGCCCAATCGGCGTGGTGTGCTAGTTCTTCTTGGGTCTCCCTTCCCTCTGCCCTCGTCCCGCTCTTGAGCTGAGGGGCATGGAACAGGATTTCTGGCCGTAGCACGACCCTGGAGGGGCCAGCCGAAAGAAACGGTACTGCGCGAACGATCTTTACCGCATTGTCTTCCCTTCCCCCATCCTAGCTCTCCGGGTTCCAGGCGTCTCGCGCCATAGCCCAGCCCCCTCGGCGACTCGCGCTGCGCTCTCAGCCTCGACGGCCCGGGGAGGAGGGGCAGAAGAGGGGGCAGCTGAGCGGAAGGGGGCTGGGCAGGAGCAGGGGGAGGGCAGAGAGGAGGGGCCTCAAGGGGGCGGGCCCTCAAGGGGGCGGAGAAACTCGGGTCTTGGGCGGTGCTGGGGCAAGTGGGAGTCTGCGCTGCTGCCGCCGCCACCCCTACCGCCGCCGCCGCCACCCCTGCCGCTGCCGCCGCTACCGCCACCGCCACTGGCCGAGCGGGTTTTTTTTTTTTTTGGTTTGCCGGATCCGCCATATTGACGAGGACGGGTACCGCGGCTGCGGACGCTAGTCTCCGCCGCCGCCGGAGCCGCAACCTCTCTGCACCCGGCCCGGTTAGGGCCTCTGCCGTGCCGAGCCCCTCCCCGTCTTGCACAGCTCGGGGCCTCGCGGGAGCCCGCCGCCGCCGCCTCTCTCTCACGGGAGGCGGCCGCTTTAGCGCCCGGTGCTCGGGTCGGCGCCGGGAGTGAGGACCGAGCTGCTGCAAAGCGGCCAGGCCCCGAGCGGGGACAGAGGCGGCGATTAGGGGAAGGTGAAGCCGTCGCTGCAGGAGGAGGAGCTGGAGGAGGTGACGCAGGAGAAACGCACCGCCCGGAGCCGTCTGAGCTCAGCGAGAGCCCCAATCTGAGGGTAGAAGGGGGAAGAGGGCTGTCGTCGGCCGAGGAGGAGGCGGCGGCGGGCGCGGCGAGGAGCGAGTTCGGGCGCCGGTGTGCAGCCTCCTTGTTGAGACGCCCGGAGCCCGGCAGCCGCAGCCTTTCGATACACTTTGTTGCCCGTCACCAGGCCTGGGATGCACCCAGGGTAGGTCTTCCCGGGACCGAGCCCCACCGTCGCCTGCTGCCTGCTTCCTCCCGCCTCCGCGTGCCCTGGTTCTGAGAAGACGTCTGTGTCGTGCGGTGAGTGGCCAGCTGCGCCGGGGCGACGCGCCTTCCCGGGGCCAACAGCTGGAAGTGGGCGAGGGGAGGAGGGCGGGGGGGGGTGTGCGTGTGTGCGAGCTTTTTCCCTAGGCGGCTGCCGGGCGGGCCGGGGCTTCCCGGTTCCCCCTCCTCCGGTCCGGGCTGGGCGGGCGCGCGGGCCGGTGTTGGGTGCGGAGCCGGTGTCCCGAGAGCGTGTCTGTGTGTTTTGGACTGTAAGGGAAAATGGCTGACGGCTCCGTCCCTCCCCCTCCTCCCCCTTCCCGTCCTGTCTGGGGCCGAGTAGGAGGATGGAGCCTCCGGGCGTGGCGGGCAGCCCCCCCTCCCCCCGCACCCGCCGTCCGCACCAGGGGTCCGGGTCCGTATTGGGGGCTAACCGCCCCCGGCCCGGCCGCCGCTTTCCTACCCCGTCTGGTTCCACTTGACACCAAACGCCATTACTGAGGTGGAGTGATTTGGAGCTGGGGAGCTAGGCCTCGGCTACGCCTGGCTATCAGGCCTGACGACTTGTCCGCCTCCCCCCACCCTCCCGCGATAACCCGCAGTTTCTCCCCTGCCCTGGGCTCCCGGAGTCCGAGCCCGGTTATCGGTCTCCTACACCTCCTTCGCCTACCTTAATTTGCAGAGGGCCAAAGCCTTGAAAGGGGTTTTTGAATGCAGAAGTCGCTTCCAAGCTACCTTGGACCTATTACCTTTGTATTTTTAACTATTTCTCCAAAAAATAGTAGCATGTGCGAGTTTGTCAGTGATCAGATCTTTAGATTCTTGTGACGTGAGGCTTCAGGTTGGATAAATGGCTGATTTTTCATTCATTGTGAAATAAGTTAAAGAGTTACAGAGCAAGTGTATGGATAGCTTCTTAAATTATTTGTATCGGTTTCTGTAGCGAGTAGAACTTACAGGAGGATTTGCGAAATTTCTAGTAGAACCTGCTTAAATTAAGCATGTTATTTTTTGGAAGTTACATAGTTATAACATTAATTGAATTTCCACGGTGCAGTTTACAGGTGTGTATAATTGCTTCAGATTGTCTTTGAATTTAAATAAGTTGTAGGTATAGGTTAAATATTCATACTTTATTTTTCGGGGAGAGAAGTATTTGTACCGTTCTTTTACCTGGAAACCTACGAGTCCCTAAAATTTACGTAACATTTGTATACTTTCACTTTTGAGGAAGAATAATTTGGGATGCATTGATTAGGAAACTTTCCGACAAGTACTTAACCCTGTCGGAGCTCATTATCTACCCTTAGGTAAGGACTCCTTAACCATGACTAGCTTGGCTGGTTAGTACACTTGAACTTAAAAATAGAGACTACAAACTCTCCTTTAGATCTCACTGGTCTTTTAATTCGCTGGGCTGCCATTTTGGTTTCAGCAGATGCCCTCAAATTCTTCAAGAATTACGTATTAAATGTACAAAATGTGAACATTCGTTTTCTCAATTTTTTAAACTCATGTGCTTTGTCATACATCTAACTTTAACCCTTTAAACTTTATCGTTCCAGCGTTTGGGTGGAGTGAAAGCTTGAAGTATTTGAAATTGGTGTTCCACAGGTGAACTCAAAATGTCTCTGGTCTTTTACTATTTTGTTTTCGCTAATTTAAAAATAGGCCGTTTGGACTATATGAATTCTCTCTACCCCTTTTCTTGTATTTTTTTGCATGAACATGTAACTTGTAATTCTGGTTATCAACGTTCTCATGTTTCTTTTGTTTGCTGACCTTGGTAGTTTCTGAGAGAATTTCTGGAAGGAGTAATAGCAGGAAGAGTATATGTGAGAATCTAAGTTACTTCAGGAAGGAACTTTGAAGGGCAGATTTTACCTATCACCAGGTTATTGGGGTCTGTAGTGCTCACAGTTTTTTTTTTTTTTTTTTTTTTTTTTTTTGAGACGAGTATTGCACTGTCGCCCAGGCTGGAGTGCAATGGTGTGATCTCGGCTCACTGCAACCCCCCCCCTCCAGGGTTCGTGCGAATCTCCTGCCTCAGCCTCTCGAGTAGCCGGATTACGCCTGGCTAATTTTTTGTAATTTTAGTAGAGACGGGTTTCACCATGTTAGCCAGGATGGCCTCGATCTCCTGACCTTGTGATCCGCCTGCCTCGGCCTCCCAGTTCTCATGTTTTATCTATGGAATGCTCAAGTAGGATTTACTTGAGATCTTTTTTCTTCGAGTGTTGAAGTACGTTTTTTAATATCTTAAGATTTGAGATTTCTTGGCTATCTTCTCAGATTTTTCTTTGACATGGTGTTAATGTAGCTTATGGTTTTGAAATGGATGTTTGTCATGAATTTGCCAGTCATCCAGTTCTTGATTAGTTGGTCACACAACAAGCGTTCTTTGAGCTTATTTATATTTCATAAAATCAATTTCTAACGTTCAGTTTCAAAATTTTAATATTGAAACCAATCTTTGTTTAAAACAGGTTTAAGAAAGTTATTTGAAATATTTAGTGGTGTGTGTTAATGGATTAGACGCCTTGTAAGTCTTTTGGGCAATGAAGGGGGGTGTCTTATCCTGCAATTGCATTAGTTGATTTTTATTCTAAAAGAATGTGTTACTTTTTACGGTAGCCTGCATTACGTTTTCTCTCTTGTAGGTATGTTTTCTGAGCCTTGAAATGTTTTTCTTTTTTTTCTAAAAGGGAAGAACGGGATTTTAGTTTTCATTTGGTTCTTTTAGGAGCTATAGTTTTGAAAGCCATCCTATTTGTTGCTAAGTTCTTGTATTTTAACATAGAGTCTTAATGTTAACATTTGGGAAAAAGTTAATACATTGGACCTCAACCCTGACTGGACATGAGAATCACTTGGCGGGGTTTAAGAAAAAAACCCCAAAACTGATCTGATATGGGACCTAGGCAGAGGTATAGTTTAAAAGCATTGTGGATGATTCTTACTTGCATTCGGAGTTGAAAACCACTGGGCTATTATTTTTATTTTGTTAGAACTTTCAAGTGAATAAATCAGAAAATGGATTTATTTTCTCAAATTCTTTTAGTTATTAGCATGATTATCATTTGAGTGTTAATTATCTGTTAGCACTGTTAAGCGGTTTCCATTTATTACCTTATGGAGATGGGTCTGAGGTCTGTCAGGTTCAACCAGTGGTGCTTCAACTACTGTGCTAATGTTAGTGAAGTGACACTGATTGCTATTTTTAAAAAAGCATTTAGAGCTTTTGTTTCTTGAACCAGAGTAGGTTTAGATTTAGTTTGGTTTTTAAGACTATCACAATAGTCTCCAATTTGATAAATATCTTGGTCGTCCAAGGGAGATCTTAAAAGCTACGTGGCAGATAGGTTTCTCCCTTTCCATATATCTTCCAGCATGCTCAGGGTGGTATTTTAGTTGGTGGGTTTATGAGAAAATATTAGGCAACTTAACATTCCTAAAAGGTGTAGAGACTACAAGTTTGTCTCCTAATTTATTTAAATCATCCCATAAATGACCATTTAGTATCACATGAAATTCTGTTGTCTCAGTTTGAGAATTTAGAGTTTTATTTGGCATTGATTTATAATTGATTTGTGGAACAAATGTAATAATAACACATTTATTTGGTGTTTCTGTCTCTTAATCCCCTTGGTCCATTGGACTAAGTCGTAATGGGGAGATGGCAGCAGGAAAGCCTATATGAGTTCAGGATCTATGAGTTTTTTTTTTTTTTTTGAGAAAGATTCTCGCTTTGTCACCCAGGCTGGAGTGGTCACGGTTCACTGCAGCCTTAACCTCTCCTGGGCTCAGGTGATCCTTTCACCTCAGCCTCCTGAGTAACTGGAACTACAGGCGCTTGCCACTATGCCTGGCTATTTGTGTGTGTGTGTGTGTGTGTGTGTGTGTGTGTGTGTGTCTTCATAGAGATGAGGTTTTGCCACATTGCTCAAGCTGGTCTTGAACTCCTGGGCTCAAGCAGTCCGCCCACCTAGGCCTCCTAAAGTGTTCGGATTCCAGGCGTGAGACACTGTGCCTGGCTCTGAGCATTCTTAGTGTGGCACAAGATTCCTCAAAGATCTTTTTGTTAAATTATATCAGAAAATGGGACTCTAGCAATCATGAAAGAAATTGATGTAATTGCTATAAGGAAGAAAGAAACTTGTAACACTTACCTATATTGGGCATTGAATTTATCAGTTAGTTACTGTGGATTATAAAGTGATGACCGTTGTAATATACTTTTAGGGAGTAACTTATGAAAAAGTATATTGTTAGGATGAGATCGCTTACCTAAAATTTATTCTTCAAACATATCCATACTAACTCTTCATGGCTTCAGAATATGTATACACACATACCTTATATTTGGCAGCAAATGGGTTTTCAATTTTATTCTCAGTCACTGCCTAACAAGGATTTTCTACCACCTCTGTGTATCAATCATCTGTGGAGCTTTTTCAAAATATATTTGCTCAATAGGTGAGTCTTGTATGTAACCAGGGTTTTTTTTTTTTTTGGCAATCCCTTTTAGGGAAAGGGGAGATACGAGACCCTTTGCATGTCTTAGGCAGCAGTACTCTTGCTTGAGTTTAGTTTTGTTAGTCACAGTCAAAAATAACAGACTGAAACACAACATGTAGTGAAAAGCTCAAACACTAGAAGAGACAAGGATTCCACACTCACATGTAATATATGTAGTATATGTGCACATATATATCAAATTTATTATCACTTACCACCTTCTTGATTTGGTTCCAGCTGTACTAGAAACATTAATATCTGTTAAGACATTAGTTTCCTTTTTACCATTCAACAAATACTTATTGGGCATCTGCTAGGTACTGTTGTAGAGATTACTGTTGTCTAGAAGCTAACATTGTATGAAGTGAGGTGGGCTGGACTAGCTGATCTCTAAAGTCCTTAGTGCTCATTTTCTGGCATTCTTTTATGTACCTGATAGGAGAGATTGGATTAAGTTGTTATTTTAAAAAACCCTTGTTATGGTATATGCCAATTGAATTTTTTTGTTACTTTAAATAGAA